TAGCTAGTATTATTTCACTGGTGGCTAGAAAACAGCAGTGCGTAATGGCTAAAAGACAAAAGGCTGTGAACTAGTGAAGCATTTTGTAATACTTTTTCTTCCTAACTGATTCTCTTGGACTTTGACTTAAAGGAGCACTGAAACGCTTTTTGAAGTAACCATGGAATGGATTCGCTAAAAGAGCTCGTCATTTCGTAACGAATTCAACGCTGCAAAAATTTTAAGAGTCCGTTCAGTACGAGTGGAGTCTCAAAGATTAGTCGCACTCTGCAAACTCATTCTCTTTTCTCTCATCCAGATGAAAGTGCTGGAAGCTAAGCAGGGAGGGATGGCAAGGGCAAAGAAAATATGTCAGGCGTGCCTCATGACCTTGAGCACTTTTCCTTCTTTTCATTTTTTTTTTCTTCTAATACGTGGCTTTTCCAGTGTGATAGTGCGCGCACGCACGTGGACAAGTTGCAGTCTTTTGCGGCGATCCCTGTAACGACCGAGCACCATATTTAAATCATCCAAAGGCTGATAGATGGCCTTCTACGAGTGATTTTTGAAAGTCTTTCGTGATTTGTCGAAAGAAGAGAAAGTAATTTTAGCTGACTTTGATCATTTATTATGAATGCCAGGCCGCATGCTGTGCTATAAGATTTGGCTCGCATATTCTTGGGAGTCTCCACTACTGATCAGCAGTGTTTTCTAACCATGCTCAAAAGTGTTGCAGGGCCCCTTTACAAAAGCTTGGAGTAGATGGTCTGCTATGCCTATACAGATGTGAAAACTGGGCCATGAAATAACATTTCAGTGCAAAAGAAGCCCTAGAATTTGCCGACTATAAACCCCACCCACCACCGGCGATCGCCATGTGTCCATGGCGCATGTGCCATCACTTGCAACAAGGAGCGGAGCTGTTTTCTACCAATGTTTCAGCTGCTGCAAATCATTCAATTTCAGATCCAAATTGAATAAAGTTAAATTATCTCAATTTTACGTGCAGCTGATCAACAATATCGTTTGCCGAAATGCAGAAGCTCGCAGGGCTGGCAGCTTGTTATACCCTAGCTTGAGAATGCACCAGTGTTGCCAGGCTCTCGGGCCACTCGCATGTTTATAGAAGTATTCAATTACATGTTAATTCCTCGTTAACTCAAAGCCACCGAATCCGGCAAAAATTTTGAGATAAGCGGTATTTCGAGTAAAGCAATACGCCGAAGATGTTTGCCCAGGTCACTGCGAAAGAAAAGCCATTGTTGTGTAGAAAAGGCCCATTGCACTAGAGCTACTGTAGTAAAGGCACAAGAATTTGCAGGAACAAAGAATTTATTACCGAGGACCAAAAAACTGCATGATGCTCGCCTGTTTCGCATTCGGTCCGAGAAAGGCGTTTTCCAGTTGCTCAACACATCGCATGAGCCTTTGGTCACCACCGCTGCATTCGACCTTGTTGCGGAGATAGCGTGGCATGTTACGCGTTTGTGTCATCGTAGGCACTTCTTGGGGCTCTTTCTCTTCTGCGTGGTCATCTGCGTTGTTCACGGCCATCTCAACGATATCCACGTCTGACAGCATACCGCTAACAGGGACGTCCGCATCGTAAAGCACGTACTTCTCAAAGGCAGTCTGCTGTCCTCAATATCGCTCACGCAGCTGGTTGCCTTGCGCACTTCACTACACAGCTCATCACAGCAGCTAAATTCCGCGCCAATGTCTTCTTCAATCAATGCCGGGGCGCGAGCAAACCTTGCATGAGCGAAGCAGTTGGCAATCGCCAGCGGGCGTATTTGGCGCCAGGCTTCGGCCATCAAATTGACTGCACCCAGGGCTGAGACAGCTGCGCATATTGCGCACTTTTGATACATTTTCGTTTTTTTGTGCCAAGCTGCTGCAAAAGCATAAAAATATCGAAAATTGTGCTGAACTGCGCCAAAACAGCCTCGAAAGCTTGAATTTTGATGCGAACCTCAGCTTCAGTGGGGAAAAGAGGCCGAGTTGACTAATAAGACGCCCCCAATTGTGTTTTTTTACTTTGCACCTTTCTGGTGTGAAAGCTCCCATACATGGTGCTGCCATAATCTCTTATAAAGTGTTGTAAATATGCATGACCCCGCAAAAATGTGCTGCCGTTCATCAAGCGTGCTGCTTCTAATAGCTAGGCTGTGTGTTTGGTGCCTCTACTGTTGCCTAGCGAAAACTACAGAGTCAAGCGGCGAGCATAGCGGAACTGACTCTCAGGTTCTTTGTTGTGCGTAGCGCGTTCCTCCGGTCGCTACAGTTTTCATGTCGACACCGCTCCATGCGGTCACTATACGCGTGCGCGTTTGCCGCGAGTCCTAATCGCATGCATGCGATTTCTTAGCGACAGGGACAAACTTGCTGTCGTATTTCTCTGCAGGCGACGCGTCTCCTGGATGTTCTGGCGCGTGCACATTTTCAAAATGGGTGCTGTGGGTGACAAAATGCATCTAATGCATTCCCGGTTTATGCCCATTACCTATTAATTTATTTAGACTAGCGAGTTCTCATTGAATTTAAAAAAGCCATCGCACACGTAATCCGCACATCTGTGTCCGCAGGTAGAGAGACTTGGTTCACGGCCACCGGATAAAAACACTTTGTTTTTTACCCAGCGATCGTGCTTGGTTATTTGTGAAGCCGTCATGACAGAACGCGCTTTCAAATCATTGATTGATATGTGAGATTTAACGTACCAAAACAACTATATGATTATGAGAGATGCTGTAGTAGAGGGCTCCGGAAATTTCGACCACCTGGGGTTCTTGAACGTGCACTAAAATCTGAGCGCACGGGCCTACAGCATTTTCGTCTCTATCGGAAATGCAGCCGGCGTAGCTGGAATTGGATCCCGCGACCTGCGGGTCAGCAGCCGAGTACCTTAGCCACTAGACCACCACGGTGAGGCTCGTTCAAACCATGTTAAACGATATTATCAGGAACCTCGTCGCTTTATCCGCGACTCATGACCCATCAGTGACCACATGGCACAGTTTTCATGAACGGTGATTTGCCACTGCTCCATTTTGTAATCCAAGCTCGCAACGAGCCTTTGCGAGGCGTTGCTGCATGCCGGCTCTGGGCTACCTGAGCTTTTAGACTTAGCTTTATGTTTGATTGGTGTTTCAGTCGGCGGCTGTTCCGCAGTGTGATTTTGTTTTCTTTCTTTTATTCTTTATTTGCACTAAAATCGGCCTCTGTGCATTTGGTGGTTGGCTTGCGTGGACACGAATTCATTACCAGCATTGCGATTCGAGTTTCTACATTGATGGTGATGACCTACGATTTAAAGAAAAATAGAACTGGCCAACGTGGGCTGTAGTAATAACACGTGGTTGCTCCTGTCGAGGTGTTATCAGTACCAATTGCGTATCACATAGCTGCCTGACAAGGTGGATAGCAAGCGGCTGCGACCCTGGGAATTTCAAATTCAGCCTTCACGGCCGTGTTTGCCACGTATAGTAAGAGCTAAGCATTTGCACAATGTCCTCGTTTCCTGTTGGAAGTGGACTTTGCCTTCTTCCCTCCTGGTCAAGATTTCGAGATATACACTGTCCCCTCTGAAAAACGTTTCAAGAAGGGGCAAATACATGGCACCTATGATGGGTTAATGCATGGCGAAAAATTGTTTTAACTTAACTGAGATTTCAACATATGCGAGTTCGAGTCAACGAGGGTTTACTGTACAAGTTAAATATTTGACCAAATGTGCTGAAATTTTGCCAGCTGATTACAATCGAAAATTGGGTGTCATAGCCTGTTCAAAGGACACTAAAAAGCAAAATCATTTTTCGCGTATTAATGAAGTACACTTTCAGAAACCCCAAAACACCACTCTTTCCGCGAGACGATGCTTGGAAAACGAGAAAACGCGCGAAAATAAAATGCAAATGGGGACACCACCTTGAGATTCCTGCACAAAACACCTGATGTCATAATTTTTGAAAACGTCTACTGGGTCCTACATAGCTTCTAATCGATAAAATTAAAGTACATTGTCATCTGTGGGTACCATTGACCTAGCATACGAAGTTTCAGAAAATCGCGTCTAGACAATGTCGTGAAAATGCGAAAACTACATCTTGAAATTTCTTATGTCATATATTTCGGTGCAAAATTTTAAAGTGAACCTTCAACCTTGATTTTCTCCGCCAATAGTGGACTTATAACAGTGAAACTTATGGCATTAGAGTTCTTAGTGTGCAGCTTATCAATCTAAGCTGAGTCATTGTTTCTCTTTAGTGTCTCTTTAGCACATGTAGTAACAAAATTACAAACATTTCTCCTCCTGTGCAAGTGGCATCCTGAGCACACACTGGCAAAAAAAAGAAAAAAAAAAAACACAGGACGTCTATTAGTCCATTAGTCACACATGTCCTTGTAAACGTTTTCAGAAATTCCCCTCCCCCTTTTGCTTCTGTTCATGAGGCAGCATCGTCACATTGTTTAGGTCAAAGCTATGACTTGGTCAGCAGAGTTCAACAAGCTCCATCTGAGAATGTGTTGCGTGTTTGACTTTCCTTTCTTGGTCTCTTGCTGCTTGTTTCGCCAGTGTAATTTATGTTGCTTCGCAATACCTGCATCATACCTGTAGATGATCCCGCACTGATTGTCCACAGGTTTGCGGTCTTTGAATTTCGCGAACACGTGTCCCAACAGTTTATATGCTCAGCGTACCCAAAGCTTTCTGAGTAGGCTCTGGTACACCCTACAGAACATAGGGTATCAATCGATGTCAATGGTCAATGGATGTCATCTTCCCTTGTTAAGCACTTTCCGTACCTCTTTGTACGTTTTTATTTAAATGTATCATTTGGCATGTAATGCATTATTTATTTTGTACGGTGTAGTAAAATCAACTATGTTACTTTTTCACTGTAATTGTGACGAGTTACCTTTGGAAACTCGGTAACTGTAGCACTGTTCCTGTTTACTGGTAATGTGTCCGGGACTAAGCACAAGACATAAATATTCACACATATTTTTTTTCCCTGCAGGTTTATGTTGTCATAGAGGACAACTATGCTTATGTTTTGCTTGAGGAATACACTAGGCAAAATAGGGTGAACACTATTACTGTAATAAAAAAAGATGCTCTGTACCTTTCTGAAAAGGAACCCAAGAAAAAGGTAAGTGTAAGCCTGAGATCTTAATGATTCATTGTTACAGCAGGATTAGTTCGAGTAACGTATAAGTAAAAATGTAATAAATAAATCTGGCATATGGTATAAGCATAAAAAAATAGCATTTAATTCCTTGTTTAAAATCTCAGTGCATGAAATTTTCCATTTTTTTTCCTTTATTGTAGGCATCTGTGCTTCTTGGTGAGCCCCACTTTTAGTACAACCATTCTACCTTGGGACAACTTGAAATTCTGGTTCCGAAAACATTCCCTGCAACACCTCTTGTGCACTCCAAGTGAGCTCGTAACCATTCCTCAAGGCTTTTCCTTGAAGGCGGTGGGTGTCAACTTCAAAGACCTTTGGAAAATAAAAGCTCCTGTGCATGCAGTTGAAGGCTTCGATTTGAGCTCATTTGACAAGCTGATTCAGGTAAGTTGATGCCAGCAGTGTGCTTGCTCAATCAATTTTCAATAATTTGGCGCTAGTGGCAGCAGTGTAATTGGTTCAGTTATCTAGCTTGTAGCACGAGCAAGTGGCAAGAACTTAAAAGCCCTCTACTGAATAAGTTGAAAAATTTAGTAGTAAGACGGTAAGTTGGGCCAGTTAGGATGCATCGTGAACTTACAGCGCAACACCAGAAAAAATACAGGACAGGGAAGGAGCAAAAAAGGAAGAAAAGACGGCTGCCAGTACCTATATATATACTTTTCACCCCGTGTTTTTCCAATAAGCAACAGTTGTGAGCCAGCGCCGTCTTTTCTTTCTCTTTTGCTCCTTCCCTGTCCTCTATTTTTTCTGGTGTTGCGCTGTAAGTTCACCATGAAAAATTTAGTCCTAGGTGTAGTGTGTGCCCAAATTAAACTCGCCCACTTTTTATCGTGTAAAAAAAGCAACAACAATGGCATAAGTGTTTCTATTGAAAGGGCAAGTGAAATGTATATGCAATTCTTTTTGCAAAAGAAACATATCAATATGCATCAGGTGCAGGACTCATGAGCAAAACTATTCAGTTGCGGAGGCAATTGGTGGTCGCACTTCAGTTGTCTGGGTGGGGCCTTTCCTCTGTTTTGTCGTAGCTGACCGTAAGGTTTATAAGTGTTTGCACAGTTGTTATTGAAAGCACTTTTAGAATGCAAGAACTGATATATTTTGACACAACATTTCAAACTGATACTTAACGACATTTCATGCCATAATGTAAAAGCAACCTGAACTCTTTCACAGTATGAAAGAAATTGGAAGCAAAAGAACAACTTCAGTGCTGATTACTGTATTTACTCGCATAATAGGCCACATTTTAAAACCCGGCTCTTAGTTCTGGGTGCGCCTATTAATCGAGGTAAAATTTCTGACTACAGCATAGACCATTGACAAGGTACTTTGCAGAAGTCAAGAATGTCTGCACTAAAGCCGAAACAACTTTGTTCAGGCTACACTAGCACAAAACGAGTTGAGCATACAGTCTCAAGTTTCCGAGAATCGAGGCATAAGCGATTCGGTATGCATTGAAATTTCTAAAAATTGACATAAAAAACCCATGTTGCCAACGAAACAAACACGAAAAAAAAGCTACGGAAAAAAAGCACCATCGCGGAAGTTCGCCGATTATGTTTCAGGCCACGTAGATTATGCGCATTTTCACAACCGAACTTTTGTATGCTCAACGGTACCCATAGTTCCATTTCATAGCCTCGCACCAGGTATCCAAGACATTGCAGTTGAATAGCGAAACACCATTCGAGTGTCACAAGCTCCACCCAAGCCACCTTTTCTTCAAGTAAAGCCGCACAAAACCATAATTTTGATAGACAGCGACCACCACCAAAAAGCACCAACAGTGAATAGGCCTAGCCTACAATTCGGCATGTCGCAGGAAGTTTCTGCAAGACACCATGAAGATTCGGCGTTGATAAGATTGCACTTAAGCGCTGATCCAAGAGCAGCACGTGTGATATAACTTCCATGTTTGCAGCCAGGGAATTAACGGCGACAAAAGTCCGCCGAGCTTGTGAAAGTCTGCGCAATGGCAGCAAAGGCGAAAGCTCGCGTCAGAAAGCCGAAAAGCTTTTAAATTTGCTGATGAAGTAGCAAACACCATAACAATGACGCTTTTCCCGACAAGAAGCTTAACGCGTATTTGGCAAGGACGTGATCACACGTTTCATGCGGAACGCATGCGGCCAGGCTAGTAGCTGGAGCCACGCGGGTGCTGGTGCATAGGTTGTTCCGACACCAAGCAACCACCCTTCTTCCTCACTTGGCAAGCCCTTGCAGCTGGCACAGCGCTGCGCAGTTTTTTTCTCACTTCAGTTAACGTATGAGGGTGTCCAAGTGCAAGTGTTCAAACACGATTAAAAAGCTACTGATCACAGCCAAGTTCGGGGTGTGCCTATTATGCGAGTAAATACGGTAAATATCAAACAGTCCTTGCTACCTGTTACATGTTTTGTCGCAGTAAAAGAAAACTTTTATTAAACAATATTCACGGATCTTGACTGGATGCCTCAATACCAAACAGTAATTGCCATGTTGCTATCTTAGCTGGGTGTGATGTGAAAAAATAAAATTCTGAGGTTTTATGAGCCAAAATTATTCATTCATTATAGGACACACCATGATGTTCGCAACCAATATGCTTCCACAGTTTGTGCCACTTGGCATACATGACTAGTAATCACCGATGTGCTGCTCATGGCAAAGCTGATCATGTGTCTACATCCTCCAGGGAATCAAGGCTATCTAAAAAAAAAAGCTTTGAACGTGCCTTCGCTTTGCAACAAACTGACAGTGTGAACAATTTTCAGTGCTATCTCAACTCTACTTCACACGTAGATTCAGTAGGGGTGGGTCTAGGTGTACTGCTCGTAAGTTGACGTGGACACCTCTATTAATTCGATTGATTGCAACAAAAAAATATATGTCAAAACTACAGTGCATGGAACTGCATAAGCACTAGCCTTTGAAGTATTTAGTACCGAGTTCAACCATTTCAGAATGCTCAGTCAATAACCGATGATCCTGTGGAGCCGCAGCCACTGTGGGAGTATCCATGCAAAGCTGTCACACAAGAGTTTGTAATCATCCAGATTGACATGAGGAATGACCCTGAAGCAACGGGCACTATATCATGTGATGGAGAGGTGCCTTTTGAAAGGTAAGGATCTTTTTAATTGAAATTAAAAGTAAAATACTGGTGAAGATGGCCAGTTTTCTTTGACCTCCTCATGTTAAGAAAATTGTGCACATTCGTTGTGGCTCTAACACAGAATCCTGTTTTAAGTATGTATCATTTCTTTATCTAGCTTTTCTTAAAACAGTTATTACTATTTCAGTGTGTAAATGGCTGTGTTTTTCAACAAAAGATAATTCATTCACTGCGAGGATATAATTAGGGCTGCTTTTGTGTTATGTTTTAGAAGATGCCAGCATACATAATCATAAAACTGTTTTTATACCTCTGGGTGTTCGTATTTACAGGGTGGAAATGCTGCACCATTTGTGCTACATTGCGCTAATCTGCTTCCATGCCATCTTGGGAGCTTTCATGTACTGCTGTTGTCTGCAACGTGGTGTGCAAATGCGAGCTCTTATTGCCTGGCGCACCTCCTGTAACATTGATAATAATGCAAAAAACTTTTAAATGACTTAAGCTGTAAGTGTGAAACAAACATTGAGTGCAATATCAAACTATTATAATATTATATGAAGTATGGAAAGTCAGTAACTTTTGGGTTCGATCTTGCATAACTCTCTAAAACGCTGATGTAAGCAAATATGGCCGGTCCTGGGAGCGCAATTTTCGTGGTGCCTGTCATCTTCATGCGAAGTAAGTGGACGGTTTGCTGATGTGTGTCAAGATGGCACGCACATTAGCGCTTGCAACCATGCCCTTATTATCAGTGTTCACTGCTGCTGCTTGAGCGATGCTTCCCTTTTCTCCGGCTTCCTTCATGCTCCTTTTTCCGACGAAAGACTGACGAGGCTTTTCCTCTCTGCTCGAAGAGCCATTGACGGCAGGCATCGCTTGCAGGGTGAGGCAGTGTCATTGCATGCACCGTTCATGCTACAGAGATAGCCGCCTTCTTTTATCTCTGCTTCAGCAGTGTTTGTTCCCAGCACTTGCGCACTTCCATTCATGCATAGAACATACGATGTATGGGGCAATTTGGTCACTTAGGACTTGTGGGGAAAATGATGGTGACATTAAAAACCCACTGAGAGTGTATACTTGTGCTACTTGTAGATGTCAGCAACAGTTCTGTTTGATCAATGTGAAAATTTAAGAAGCGTCTCTGAAGCATAGTTGGGTTTAGCTATGCATTGTGCTACTTATCTTAATTTTTCTCTTGGTCTCATTAGTTGTAGCACTTCAATGATGGGAGCATAAATTTCCTAAATTGAATTTTATAGTCTCCTTGGGCTTAGAATGAATTTAGGATTAATTAGTATATATCTAGTCGACAGTTATTCGTGTCAGCTGTGGCGTTTTATTGAACGGACTGCCTACCATGGCTTATTGTTTTTCGGTTTTGTGTTCACATGGAAAGCATAATATCAGAAGTGTCCAACCCTGCAGGGGTTTTTCAGGAAAGCGAGTAAACATTTTCAAAAGTAATTTTTCAATCTGCATTCTGTCATTGTCTATTAGTGTGAAGATGCCTGTGAACACTGGGTACTGCACGTGATTACAATGGTTGGGCTGGTGAAAGTCAATAACTAAAACCACATGCAGTTTTTGCATCTTGAATTACGTTTGTTTTAATAATAAAATGATAAAATACTAGTTTATAACTCATAAACTGCCATATAAAGTATTACTGCATTTTTTCAATATTTTGTTAAGTTAGCCCGACGAAAAAAAGGCCCTTGCGGTGTTACAGCATGAGCCTTTATGTTTACAGCTCATAAACTGCCATATAAAGTATTACTGCATTCTTTAAACATTTTGTTTAGTTAGCCTGAAAGAAGAAAAGGCCCATGCGGTTTTCTAGTTGTGTTTAGATGTTTTAAACATTTTCTTGTTCCTTCTGAATGGCACAGGCCGCCGTGCTCACGTTTTTCCGCAGTAGGCAGGCAGGCAAACGCGATGCCTGCAGCGCCACCTGGTGCTTCTTCTAACAAGCGAGGGAAGAAAAAACGCGAAAATTACTCCCGACGCCAGAAAAAGCTACCAAAAGTGCATAAAATTTAATTTTAAATTTTACATACATTCAAACCTTGCAATAAATGCGGTGTTAAAATATAACTTTATGACGAATTTTTTTATATAACGAGCATTCATTTGCGTGTAAGATGAAAATTTGTTACTAAGAGGTTTGAGGGTACTTGTCACTGGTCCCATTGATAGGGAGGCAATCGCCGGGCGGGCTGATTCCTAAAGCAGTATTGCCCCCACCCACCCCTAACGCACCATGAAAGCACGGACAATTTAGGGATGGTCCTTTTGGTGTGCCAGCGAACGCAAGCTGTGGTCCGAAGAACGAGGCAGAGCCGGGAGTTGATAGCAAAACAAAAATATATTCTCGGATAAAGCACAACGAACAACACACAGACGTGTACACTCAGCAATCATCGAATACAATACGACATCACTCACAATGGACTAAGAGAGACATTGAGGGCAAGTGCTTGTCTTTGTTAATTACAAAAAATATATATTATTTATAGTTTTAAAGCTCATTTTACATTGTAAGCAAGACAAACTCAGATGATGCATGTGGGCACGTCTGAATAATAAATTTATTCACACTTTTGATACATCTTCGTATATCTACTCATTTTCTAATTGCCGACAGCACAAAATTGTTCTCTATTTCTAGTCACTTTTGTATCATGTTTTATTGCATAAAACTGTTCTCAGTAGTGTAAGAGCATTGTTTACATAGGCAAATAAAATCTGTTTGCAACATGCCATGGTTTCCTGTTGTGGGTACACGAGCTAAATGGCAGTGCTGCGTTAGCCTTGCGTGTGTCTATTTGCCATTAAGTACCGAACAATTGTGCAGTAGTAATAAGCTGCACCAAGTGTAATGAGTTTTGATTTTCGCCTGCTCCAACTGATCGAAAACACAAATTTTTGTGCTACAGAACTGCTATAAAATGCTTATGTAGCTGCTCCTAAATTTCTTCAAAAAATCCTTTTGCTCTGAAAATTGCTCCAAATCTTAGATTTGCTGGACCACCACTGCTAGATTTCCTTGCAGGCCCGTAGCCAGGCACACTAGCAGATCAGAGCATAGTCTTGTATAGTATAGTGCAGCAACCGATTCTGAAAGAGAAGTGAGCATGAGGGGGAGGTGTCTGATGTTGAGAAAAAACTACCAGGGGGAGAGGCTAGCCCTCTCCCCCCTTGGTAGTCTTCTTTCAACATCAGACACCTCCTCCTCCTCATGCCCACTCAGGCTTCGACATCCTTTTTCACCACTCTCCATTACTCCATTACGCATTGCTTTCTCCCTCTGATCTATTCACTTTTCCTCTCATCTGCTACACTCGGTAGTAAAGCTTGGTTAACTCCTGTGGTGCTTACACAACCAAGTTCTTACACTACACAGCCTTACTCCAAGCCTAAAATGGCTCTGCTGTAAATTCTTTCTTTTCAAAAACACCTCCATCTCACTTTGAAGCCTGCAGAATGTGGTAGTTTACTCTTACGACAGCTTTTAAACTTTAAAAAAAATTTTTGATGAAGTGTTTTATCACTTTCACAGCAATGAAGATGAATGCAACGGAGTTGCGCTGTGGGCCGACTTTGTACTGGACGACTCAAACACCATTACATTTGGTCCTGCAAAAGCTATTGTGCCTGGACATGAAATAGTTTGGGACCGCTTTTCTCGTCAAGGAGTGTATTTTTTGAACTGCACCAAGCTAAAGCCTAAAGTTCTCAAGTGGAGCTTCAAGTTCGATGTTTCAAAGGACTTAACGAACTTCGATGTTTCAAGGGACTTAATGAACTTCAACTTTGATGTGCAGTGAATTTACATGTGCACTGACCAGTTGACTGTTTTTGTGGCTATGGTATCTTGCCTGCCATGGTGTGAATTTCGTTTTATTTTTTTGAACAGCAAGTTGGACACTGCTAATATTTTCAGCAAGGTGCACTGTTTTCGCTTTGGACAAATTGACTGTGTCAGGTCTGAAGTGTCTTAAGTTATTTTCAATAATAAAAGTCTCCCATCTCTGTGTCATGCCTTCTAATTTTTCATCCAGACATCAAAAGAATAAAATTACCTTCCCGCCGAGGCATTGTTTCTATCTGACCCAGCCATTTTCAAACACATCTCAAGCCGTTTTTCCATAGTTGTATAAAACCCCTTCATGTTGTATTGTACAGCGTATCTCGAAGTACGGCCACTAGCGTGGGTTTGGTCTTAGCGAGACGCAGGGCTGCGTTCGGACAGCCAAGGCGCCTAGCGCAGCGTGGCAAGTACACAGTACTGCTCTCAAACAAGTTGCAACACTTTATTGCCTGTGGCAACACCAAAAACGCAGTACAGAGCCCGTTGCAAAAGGGGCGGTGGAAAAGCAAACGAGGCTTATCCGCGCCACGGGTGGAAAGTACAACACAAACGGTGCCGCGAGCACGTCTCCGTGGGCAAAAGGGATTCACGGTGACACGCCGCTGAGGGAAATGGGCCCCCGCGACTATGCTGCGTTGCTCTCATGATCAGGGAGAACAGAGCCCGATCGCTCCAGCGAGAGCGAAATCCGCTTGCGTTAGCTTCGAGAGGTACGGGTCAGCGTAGTAGGACCACGCGCGAAGACACCACACCGCTATTCGGCCTAGCGTTTAGAAGGGGCAACGAAAGGTAAGTGGGCGCAAGGCGCTGTTGACAAGTCCGAGCGAGCTCCAAACAAAAGAAGCCGACGGACGGAAAGAACACGTGTGCTCACTTTTTGATGTCCTGGAGAGGTGTGTGCCTGACTCGACGCATGTGCGCAAAACGTCCTGAGTGGTTCAAGCGCAGCGCTACAGTCGACATTCGGGTGAGAGGGGTTGAAGTTACTCCCGCTCCCCCGGAGCCAACGGACCGCGGAAAAGGGCAGAGTCGTGTTAGGACATGAGAATGGCAGAAATAGGTGACACAGCCCGCGCAATGGCGATGGGCTAGCCTCAATTCATCTCCTGAATTTGCCCATAGGTAACCAGCGCTGGAGTTTCCACGGCAGCCCTGGCGGTCAAAGTGCCCACATCTGAGCTGCTCCCGCAGATGAGAGTGGCGGCTAGTAGAGGCAGTGTGGGCGTGCATCGCTGTAACAAAACCAAAGGGCACTACTGGCAGTACTGCTGCATATTCAAGTGCAACAACATGTAGAAAGGGGGAACACATATCCATCTACATTTTTTTTCTTTTTAATCATATCAATCATGATTGATATCGCCGCGGCGATGCATTCAAGTGGTCAGGCGGGCAAGGTATGCTCTCGCTTTCCTGTTTGTATCGATGTCGGGCTGGTTTCTACACCGAATGGCGTGTGTCTGCTATATTTATTCAAAAGCGAAGATGGCCACCAGTGGAAACCAGGTCCAACAGTCGAATTAAAACGGCGTTTTGCCGAAAATAAAATGAGCGTCTTATGCAGCGTACGGCATAATTATTTTTAATCTGGCCCGCTGAGTGTTGAGTCGTGCACCTTAGGACCAACAGTTTCTCATACATACGCAAATCTGACCACCATCACCGAGCTACATCTGGTGCCACCTCATGAAGGATATTGTCGCGCGTGAACAAGAGGGACTTCAGGTAAAGAATACCGCGTAGTCACAGAGGCGCAGGTCAGGGACACCACAACCAAAAAACAAAAGCCTCGGCGAGAGCGCGCTAGCCCAACAACTTCTTCCTCGTTTTTCTCCTCGATGCGGGCTCGTGCTCGCCGCAGTTCATGGCCAGGTGGCATTATTCCCCCACTGAAAAAAAAAGCATCGCCCCGATGCTCGCGCGAATGGTAGTGGATAAGCGGAAGTAAAGCAGACATGCACACTGTGGGCACACTTAAGAAAAAAAACAACAACAAAAGAACAAGGCTGAGACACGGTCCCACTAACGTACGAAGTACGGCTTGAGCCGTACAACGTGAACAATCTCTGGGTAGTGCTTTCGACGCTGGGGTGACATGGTTCCATATGGAACCACCTCATAATTCACGTCACTGATGCGACGCACTACTTTGTAGGGTCCAAAGTAGCGACTCAGGAGCTTTTCGGACAACCCTTGGCGGCGAACCGGAGTCCATACCCAAACTAGATCTCCTGGGTGGTATTCGACCTGTCGATGGCGAAGATTGTAGCGGCGTGCATCTGCAGTTTGTTGTTGCGTGATATGCAGGCGTGCCAACTGTCGAGCTTCTTCGGCAAACTGAGCAAGCTGCTCAGCGTCAGGTGTGAGCGACCCGTCGTAATCGTGTGGCAACATAGCGTCCAACATGGTCTGGACCTCACGCCCATAGACGAGACGGAACGGTGTGAATCGTGTCGTTTCTTGGATGGCAGTGTTGTAGGCGAATGTTACGTATGGAAGGACCTGATCCCACGTCTTGTGTTGAACGTCTACATACATGGACAACATATCGGCGATGGTCTTGTTAAGTCGTTCCGTCAGGCCGTTAGTCTGCGGATGATACGCCGTCGTCTTGCGATGGCTCGTGAAGCTTAGCTTGAATACATCGTCAATGAGCTGAGCCGTGAAAGCTGTTCCGCGATCAGTGATGACGCAAGACGGGGCGCCATGGCGAAGAACGATCTGTTCGACGAAAAACTGGGCAACGTCGGAAGCTGTAGCTCGTTGCAGGGCTCTTGTCTCGGCGTATCTCGTTAGATAATCTGTCGCTACAACTATCCATTTGTTACCGGCAGATGACAGAGGAAACGGCCCCAGTAAATCCATGCCTATTTGATCGAACGGCGACCTTGGTGGTGTGATTGGTTGCAGCAGGCCTGCAGGCTTCAGTGGCGGAGATTTGCGGCGTTGACATTCACGGCAGCTTTTCACATATCTCTTGACGTACATAGCAAGTCTCGGCCAGTAGTACGCCTGTTGAACTCTGGCGAGAGTTCGTGAAGAACCTAGATGCCCGGATGTGGGTTCGTCGTGGCAGGCCAGAAGAATGTCGTCTCGCATGTCAGATGGGACCACTAGCAAGTAGGCTTTCCCATTGCCGTTCGAGTTTGATTTATACAAGACACCGTTCCGCAGGCAGAACGAAGAGAGATTGCGAGAGATGTGCCGAGGTACGGGTGTGTTGCGTCCTTCTAGTTGGTCAATGATTGCGCGAATCTCGACGTCATCGTGTTGTCGTGCGATCAAGTCTGTTGCAGTGAGGACTCCGAGGAAGCCGCAGTCATCGTCATTGTCGGGATCACAAACTCCAGTAGGTGCACGTGACAAGGAATCAGCATCTTCGTGCTTGCGGCCTGATTTATAGACAATGGTAAGGTCAAACTCTTGCAAACGAAGGCTCCATCGTGCCAGACGCCCAGACGGGTCTCGTAAATTGGCTAACCAGCACAATGAGTGATGATCAGTAACTACTTTAAAGTGACGACCGTAGAGGTAAGGCCTGAATTTCATAGTGGCCCACACTACTGCTAGGCACTCTTTCTCCGAGGTGGAATAGTTCATCTCGGCGCGAGACAGGGCACGGCTGGCGTAAGCTATCACGCGCTCGGTGCCTTCTTGATGTTGGACAAGCACGGCGCCGAGACCTACATTGCTCGCGTCGGTATGAACTTCCGTGGCAGCATCCTCGTCGAAGTGAGCAAGAACTGGTGGTGCCTGCATACGCTCACGTAGATCGATAAAAGCCGCGTTCTGTTCTTCATTCCAAACGAATGGTACGTCGTCACGTGTGAGACGAGTCAGAGGCTCGGCAATTCTAGAAAAATTGGCGATGAAGCGACGATAGTAGGCGCACAGACCGAGGAAGCGGCGTACTGCTTTCTTGTCACGGGGAACGGGAAAGGAGGCTACGGCGGTTGTCTTGTCGGGGTCAGGTCGAACACCGTCTGCGCTCACAACATGCCCCAGAAATTTAAGTTCTTTATAGCCAAAGTGGCATTTTTCTGGCTTCAGCGTGAGGTTCGCAGAGTGGAGTGCTTCCAGAACAGCCTGCAGACGTTTCAAGTGTTCCTCGAAAGTGACCGAAAATACGACGACATCATCGAGATAAACTAAGCAGGTGTTCCACTTCAGACCGGTAAGAACAGTGTCCATCATTCTTTGGAATGTCGCTGGTGCAGAACACAGGCCGAAGGGAAGCACCTTGAATTCATACAGGCCGTCCGGTGTAACAAAAGCAGTTTTTTCTCGGTCTCTTTCATCAACCTCAATCTGCCAGTATCCGCTTTTCAAGTCTATGGATGAAAAATACCTTGCTCGCCGTAGTCTGTCTAGTGAATCATCGATGCGTGGCAGAGGATACACGTCTTTTTTTGTCACGTCGTTCAGCTTTCTGTAGTCCACGCAGAAACGCAACGTTCCGTCCTTTTTCTTTACAAGAACGACTGGCGATGACCATGGACTATTGGACGGCTGTATAACATCATCCTGAAGCATCTCTTCGACTTGAGCATTGATCGCGTCACGTTCTTTGGCAGAAACTCGGTAGGGTTGTTGCTTTATGGGCGAGACATCGGTGTGTATAATAATCCGGTGTTTCATAAGGGGCGTTTGACGCACCTTTGAGGATGAAGCGAAACACTCTTGAAATTCAAGCAACAGCTCCTGCAGCGCTGTGCGTTCTTTCTGCGTGAGGCTCGAATTGATGTCCACCTTTTCAAGAGCCTTAGAAACGCCGGTCGATGTCGATTGTAGCCCACTATTTATTGATGCGGCAGAAAAACATTCAGCAACGTCTTCGATGGGGTAGGCGAAAGCGATAGCGGTGCGTCGAAACAGGTGCCGCTGCTCATTACTAAAATTTGTCACAAGCAGCGTGGCACGTCTGTCGTGAAGCGTAATGAGGCTGCGGGCTGCGCAGACACCTATGCTAAACAAAAGTGTCAAGTTGCCTTCGGCGACTGCCTCACCGTCACGTATCTCGTCACACACGACTTCAACCAGGATGCTTGAACGTGGAGGCAACGTGATTATGTCGGCCGAAACACGAAGCGAACTGAGATGGCTGTCATCAGGCTTTTCTGCTTTGTCTGTAGAGAACGTCACTGTGCGCTGTCGGAGGTCAATGA